GAGAGCAATCGGCCGATTAGGGTTCTTTGGAGGAGAAGAGGGCGTCGACTGTCAATGGAGAAAATCGAGTATATTCAGATAAAATCGAGCAGCAACGAGCAGCAAAATCGAGCATAATCTATAGATAAAGAGAAGAGTTACCTTTGGAGAAGAAAGCCTTGATTTGAGGAGAAACTATTTCAGCCGATTAGGGTTCTTGGAGGAGAAGATTGGAGGAGAAGTTTGGATTAGAAGTAGCGACTATTGGAGGAGAAAAGAGAGGCGTGGGTTTTGTTGAAGGGTATGCACGTCTTTTTCTTGGCTTAATGTGGACAAGTAATGGTTTCCTGCTGTGCGAATAAGCCCGAGTTTGGGCGAATAAGCCCGAAGTAAACAGCCTAAAATGGCTGTGCGAATAAGCCCATTTATCCGGTAAGCTCATTAAGCCACAAATAAACAGGCCTTAGTAATAAGCATTTTTGTGTTTACATAAATAATTTATATTGATATTAAATTAATAATAAAAAATTAAAAATTAAACCCTTTTATCTTATAATAAATTAGTAAATATTTTTTAAAAAAAACAAAAATTATTTCAAATAAGCAATTCCAAAACAATCATTTTCATCTTTTTATTGTTATTTTTATTCCTCACTTTTATAAAATTTAAAAATCTATGAAATTATTTTTCTTATTTTTTAATTAAATAATATATATATATAACAAAAGTACCATTTTTTCTTAAATATTTAATGATATTCTTCATGAATTTCAAAAAAAAAAAATTGAATCTTGAGTTCCTAATATATTTAATGAACCTGAATAAACTTGCTTTAATACAAGTTATTAAATTAACTAATATAATCCTTTTGAACAAAACTTACGTCTTATAAAAAACGTGCAGTGCAAAGTATCTCAACACATCATGACATGAGTCACGCCTTACAAAAACGATATAAGCCATTTTGTAATGGTGGAGACACATCTTGCGTCATATTTTAGGCTTTTTTTTAACACCGGTATAGATACCAGACTTTCCTTTGCTTAATGGCCCAAATCCTCTTCTAATGTATTGGGGAATTTTATACAAACACTTGGTGTTCATAAATGAAGGCAATATTGATCATTCAAGGTTGAGTTATTATGATTCGGATAGATTGTGTTTATAACAAGATGGACTTGTTGACAATGTTGCAAACCCGTTTATGAAAAAATGCGTCATCGGTCTAATACTCAGATCAAACCTCCAGCGGCCTTAAAGAGACTTGGTGACCAATAAAGAACAAACCGAACACTTAATCAATGGAGCTACGCCAAAGGGTTCTCTTTTGTTGCTTATGGAGATGGGGCGTGTGCTAATCAGTATAAAAGTAAGGTAAAAAGAGAAAATTAATGTTTAAAGCCGTACAACGCATCCAATCTAGCTTAGTAAATTCAGACATTTTAAACCGCAAACAAACAATTTGATATGACTTAATGAATAAGCTCTCCATAATATTAAATCACAAACAAATAGCCCCTAAACTTAACTCGATGATATGTTACTTATAAAATCCTCAATGATACGACCAACAGAAGCATACGACGAACCTCCCTCTTTCACCGTCGCCCTACTCTTCCTCCCTATCTCTTTCATTTTCGCTCTTACCTCCTTATCATCCATCAACTGTCTTATTCCCTTCTCTATCTCTTCTCCCGTGACTATATCGCTATCTGGATTAAACAAATCCTTCTTATAATCCAATTTAATCTCCACCGCTAATCCCAACTCCACCACCATCTCAAACGCATTCATCTGCTGCTCTGCGTAGATCGGCCATGTCGCCAATGGTACACCGAACCACAAACTCTCCAACACCGAGTTCCACCCACAATGGGACACAAACCCTCCAATGGCTTCATGAGCCAGCACCGCCACCTGCGGTGCCCATCCGATCACTTTCCCTATTCCGGCAGTCCGCTGTAGAAACCCTTCCGGCAACACCGCTCCTGGATCTTCGTAATCTCCGGGGGCTCTTGATGTTTGCTCCGGTGAAGGAGGTCGACGAAGTGACCACAAGAAACGGTGGCCGGTTCGTTCTAAAGCATGAGCAATCTCTTTCACTTGAACCTCCTCGAAATTTCCCAAACTCCCAAAACACAAAAACACCACCGAAGATGGCGGTTGATCATCTAACCAGCTGACGACGTCATTTTCCGAGTTTTCTCCGGCACCACCGTCTAGATTGATTATCGGTCCCACCGGATATACAACCGGTACGTTACTTTCAGAAGATAACGACCCGATTGCGTGTGTTTCCAGTTCCAAAAATGTATTAACCATGATCGCTTTTGCCTCTCTCATTTTCCGGGAAGTCAATAGAACATAATCCAACCCTTCTTTCGTATCGAACCCTGACGGAAACACCTTCACCGGAACCGGATTAACAAAACTCGGAACCTGTAACTCACCATCCGAGTTGCTCAACTCGATAACATCTTGATTATGATCATCACAGATCATCTGGATATAAAATTGAAAGCCAAGATAAGCAGCATTAGAAGTGAAGTAGACATAGGTTGGAACATTGAACTCATTAGCCACATCGATCATGCCTGTGCAAAGCATGTCGATGACGAACCCAGCGAGCCGACCGGAACCCGGTTGACTCATCATGTCGGCCACCACATTTCTAACGTATTTGCAGTGACTGTTTATGAAATCATTGACGAAAGTCATTGGAGCTTTCGGGTCACGGTTTGGTAGAATTTGGTCTTGAGGGAGTTGAGTGAATCGTATGCGGTCCATGGAGTTGTTGGCTAACGATTGGATGTAGGTGGCCATGGCGGAGGCAGGACGGGAGCCCGATGGCGAGTTTATTATAAGGACGGTTATGGAGATCCTTTGATCTCGATTTACCAGTAATTTTGCGATTTCGATTGTGGATTTGATATGGCCGATGACTGGTGCAGGGATGAAGATGAGGTCTGCAAGTGTGGTGGCCATTTGATTTGTGTTGGTGGGGGAGAAGAAGACCATTGAAGTGCGTCTTTTATTTGTGTGTTCTGCAATCATTGAAGTGATGTCATGCCTTTGGTCACGTTGAACACTATGAGCATCGGGAACCTCAATATGAGGAATAATAATTGGAAAATTAAATAAAAAGGGGTCGTAAAAAATAAAGTTGATGCCTGCAATTAAAAACAGGTGATGTTTACTAAATGATTATCGGGTAAGTATTTATTCATAGGAGTCAACCATATAATTTATTTTGATGCGTAAAAATTTAGTACATTAAAACGTATCGAATGTAACAATTTACCGGATAAGAGTCGTAATCTTCACTTATCGAATAAGACTCTTCATCTTTTTTATCGTTCTTACCCGGTAAGATTCTTGACCCTTGTCATGTTCATACTACAAAAAAAATTATCCGATAAACACTTACTAAGTAAGTGTTTAGTAAACGGCCTCTTAATGTTGATGTATCTGACAAAAAAACTACTAAATAAGAATGCATTTAGCAATACAGAATGATGTATTAGTCATGGCATAAATGTGTAATTTTGTTTTGCGTAAATGCATACTTTGTTTATGCAAATTTATATTATTTTACATTAACGTTCAATTTTAACCATAAAAATCTAGTTTATATAATTTAGTTTATATAATTGCTTAAAACATTTGAGTAAAGAATCGTTGTAAGTACACATGGTAAAAAAAAAATTACTTTTTAATTACTTCCAAACGTTTTCTCACATAGCCAATAAATTACAAGTCAACGTCGTAAAAAAATTCTCATTGTTTCTGACATTTTCTGACACACCTAGATGAAAAGTGGGTCCATCATAAAAATAGAATTTCTTTCTTCGTCTTTACAAAAAAAAAAAAAAAAGGAGGAAGTTGTCCCGTATTTCAAATACTTCGTACAATATATTGAAAGAAATTAAAATTCTCAATTCCCTACGACAGATCTATTAATTCTTTGATTCTAGTTAGTAAAGTAAGAAGTATTAAAAAAAAACAGTTCTTATCAATTCCTGTAACGTAAGAAAGATGTCGGTTACTTTTGTAGGCGATATTCATTGAGCCAAGAGCACCCCCTCGAGTGGCAGGCAGGCCTATTTGAATTCCTTCGAAAGGAAGGGTGGTAAGTCAAATTGTTGGTCGTTTTTAGTTGTTTTTCAGTTGTTCTCTCGGTTTCCATGGTCTTTGGAGTTCATGTTCTTAACAGGCTCACTCTGGATGCTCTTGTTTTGTAATTTGTTCTTTTTTGTTTAATGCATTGGTGTGTCTAAAATAATATCATCATGGAGAAGATAAACATAATTAAATCTTTTTTTTCTACTCCTTTTGTTTCAGAGTAAGGGGTCGTTTATCAAATGTTTATTCGGGTAAGTGCTTACCAAGTTACATTACATTATCAAATGAATATAATAAGAATCAAGAATCTTACCCGGTACAAGCGAGACAAAGACTTAAAGTCTTATCTGGTAAGTGAGGACAACAACTCTTACCATGGTTAGCACTTACCAAGTAAATCATTGCATACAATGTTGTTCTTGTTGACTAAAATCTTATCCGATAAGTAAATAATATTGTTCAATTTTAACGGTAAATGCTTATCAGGTAAGTATTTAATAAACGGTCCCTAGGCGTCCAAATTGAAACGTATCTAATTTAAATTTTATGTGATTATTTTTAATTAATTAAATGAGAATTTATCCTTCAATTGATAAAAATTAGAATTTTTTATCTTATAATAATTAAAAATTAAAATGATGAAATATACATTAACTTTTAAAATAAACACTTATTTTTAAATAAATTAAAATATAATTATGCACATAAATAAACCACATGTGATTCTAAATACACCTTCCTCCTACTTGCTCTTTCAGTCCCTTATTATTTTTACATACACATACAATAATATATATCAAAAAAGTGACATCATTTAATTATAAAAAATAAATATTGAGATATTTGTTAAATAGTGGTATAATTTGACTATAAGAAACAAATAGAAAGAGATTTTTAAACATTGACATCATTTAACTAAGAAAATAACATTAACATGATTCGAGCTGGGATCTAGGGTGAGAGAAAAGTCTTGCACACCAACTCTACCAGAAAAAATTTGTTTTCATTATAGTTTCAAAATATATACGGTGACACACACAAATTAACATGATAACAATTTTCACGACCGTAATTTTTTTTAACATTACAACATTTGAACTATGTATAACACAGTCAATCGTATACATTAAGTCCATTCCTGATATTAAGCCATTCCCTTTTACATCTTCAATATAAATTTTGACCATGAATTAAGCCAAAGAAGGCACATATAACAACATTGTTATTTTCAGTAATTCAATATCCTTTTTAAAGTTAGTTAAAAAAAAAACTATTTCGGATAACATTTTAATAAGATTTAGGGTTTTTTGTTTCTTCTTATTTTTCCAATTACGTCTTTTATATTTTACGTAAATAAACAAAAATCTTATGTCATTTATAGTTATTTACATTGTTATCTAGCGTATAAGCTAGTTCTTACCAAAATTACTAATTTATCAGCTAAGATTTACACAAACCACTTATCGTCGTCAACAAAGAATGATTCATCAAGGGTTGTTTAAATTAGCAAGCATAGGGATACAACATATCTAAATGGTATACAAGTGTAGTGCCCGATTGGTTTGAGCTTGAACTTTAATGGTCAAAAGTGTTTGCAAACCCCAGGTTCGAATACAATGAGGAATAAAAATCCTCTTGTAACCACGGAGGTTCAAATGTGGTGACTTCGCGGGTGGTCGCCTTAGGATTAGTCGGCTCACATAATGGGTTGGATACCCAGGTTAATAAGAAAATGTGAAATGTGATTTTGATATATTTAAAGAAGAAATTAGTAGGAAAGGGGTTCAAACATTATACAGAGAAAGGGTTCAAATAATTTTCATGCATCCACAAAACAAGTGAACAACATTTGTTGACATGGGAATTTCATCAAACAAGTGGCAGGCAAAAAAAAAAAGATGCTAATACAAAATCAAAATGTAAAAAGAAATACGTAACAGATATCTTTTTGTTCACATTCTTGTAACATCTAGACTTTAACTCGGGAGATGTTTTTTTATAAAATCCTGAATTAGATAACTAACAGAATCATATGAACTGCCTTTCGTCATCGCCGCTCTGCTCTTTTCGCTCATCTCTTTGACTTTTGTCCTGATCATCTTATCCGCCATCAACCGCCTTATTCCGCCCTCGATCTCATTTGCCGTCACTATCACCGTATCCGCCTGAGGATTAAACAAATCCATCTTATAATCCAATTTAATCTCCACGGCCAATCCCAGCTCCACCACCATTTCAAATGCACTCATTTGTTGCTCAGCGTAGAGTGGCCACGTCGCCAATGGTACACCAAACCACAAACTCTCCAACATCGAGTCCCACCCGCAGTGGGACACCACTCCTCCCACTGCACAGTGACCCAACAACGTCACTGGTGGATCCCACCGAATCACTTTCCCGATTCCGGAAATCCGCTCCACGAATCCTTCCGGCAACACCGCTCCTTGATCCTCGTGATCTGATGGCGGTTGATGCAGCGACCAAAGGAAACGATGGCCGCTGGTCTCTAGACCATGTGCTATCTCCTCTATCTGGACCTTTTGGAAACTTCCCATACTCCCAAAGCTCAACACGACCACCGAGGACGGCGGTTGACCGTCCAACCACCTGATGACATTATCGTCATACGGTTTTCTGGTACCACCTTCTAGATTGAGTACCGGTCCCACCGTATACACCCGTGGGATACTACTGTCAGAAGACAATGACTCGATTGCATGTGTTTCCAATTCCGGGAACGTATTAACCATGATTGCCCTAACTGTTCTCCGTTTCCGGGAAGATGATACAAAGATTTCGAGCCCGTCTCTAGTTCGAACCATGGACGGAAAGACCTTCGTCGGCACCGGCTTGTTGAAGGCCGGAACCAGTATCTCGCCATCGGAGTTGCTCAACTCAACAACGTCTTGGTTCTGATCATTGAAAAGCGTCTCGATATGCAACTTAAAGCCAAGAAAAGCAGCATTAGAACTGAAATACACGTACGTTGGAACATTAAACTCATCGGCCACATCGATCATGCTGGTGCAAAGCATGTCGATGACGAATCCGGCAACCCTACTGGAACCCGGTTGACTTATCATACCGGCCACCACATCTCTGACATATTTGCAGTGACTATTGATGAATTCATCGAAGGAAGTCATCGGGTTTTTCGAATCGAGCTTTGGTGGGGTTCCGTCTTTGAGTTGAATGAAGGATATACGATCTATAGACTTGTTAGCTAACGATTCGATGTAGGTAGCAATTGGAGGCAGTTTGATGGTAAGGACGGTTATGGAGAGACGTTGATCTCGATTTACAAGCAGTTTTGCGATCTCGATGGCTGATATGATATGATCGACCAAAGGTGCAGGGATGAACAGAAGCTCTGCAACAGTATTCGCCATTAATTTGTTTTGGTTGATGAATTTGTTTCAATGTGCCGGTCTTAATATGGATTGTGGGCAAATCTCATTTAATTGAGTTTTGAATTTTATGATCATGGGGACCATTTTTTTTTTTGTCATAATGATGTGCAAGATTTGTGGATGGATCGGTAAGACATAAATTGCTTACCTATATCTATTTCTATATCTACAGAGGCCTAATTAAATGAGAAGTTTTTAATTTGTGTTAATCGTTATATGTACCAATTATTTAGGATAATTATTATAATTTCTTAAAATAAATAGAAAGATAAATTAATAAATTGTGTTAAGTATTCAATTTAGTTGAATTAGTTTAATATTCTAATTTTGAAATATATATATATATATATATATATTCTAGAAGGATACTTGTAAAATGTAAAGAGATACATCATCATTTTAATGTTTCGTTTTATTTTTTTGTATCTGTTGATATAATACGGTTTATGTGGTTTTGAAAAAGATAATTTTTTTTTTTACTTTTAAATAAAAATAAATTTGAAGATATCGTAAAAATTGAAAAAAAATATATCGATATTAATATCAAATTAACTATTTAAAAGTTATCGATTTTTATACAACTTTCTAATTCAATTTTTTATTATAATTTAATTTAGGTCAAATAGTGAAATAATTTATTTTTGTTTTAACAATAAATTTTTTATAAAGATAATGATTCTGTTAGAACTCAATGATTATCCGAATTATATTTTAGATTTTTTATATTTAAAATGAGATATTTATACTGCATTTGATTATATTTATCTGCAGTTAGTTATACGAATTCAAAAATGGAGCTTTAATAAGTTGTACTTACACACAATTTACTTATAATCCTAAATTTTAAGTAATATTCATTAATACACAATACTTCATGCATAAAGAATGGTTTTTAAGAGTTATGTCAAATGCTTTATAATATTACTAGAAGTGTACTCGCGCAATGCAGCGACATACATCGTGTTTTTAATATTTCATTTTATTATTTATCTCAGTCGATGTTATAATATGGCTTTATGTGATTTTGAGAAA